CCCGTCGAAAGGGGAGGGGCCCTGCTGCTTCCAAATAGAGCACATTTCATTCATAATGATGTAAATCCAAGTCCATTATGTATTCATGATTTGAATCCTGGGTTGTGTGAAATCCCAGAAATAAACCTTAGACAAAGTGAACCTGTGAACTAAGGTGTAGGTCTGTTAGGTAATGTTGTGGTGATCCTCGATGTGGGGGATTTGTGTTCATACTGGAGTGCAAAATTAAAACCAATGGAAGATGGATAAGAAAAGTTCAAATCCATCAGGTGCTCAGTTTAGAAAAAATAGAAAAGAAGAGGAGGAGAAGATGCAGGTAAGCAAATGTGTCATTGGATAATGGCAGGTCATCCTGAAACAATCAGAATCAGAATACTTTATTAATGCCTAAAGAAATTATGTGGGTTACAGTTGCTCCAAGAAGAAATGGTAAAAATAGCAACAGTAACAGACTAAACTCCAAACAATACATTATTTTACAGATTTTAATATTATTTAGTCATTGTCAATTGTTGATTTGTCCTGTTCTCATTGTATGACGAATTATGATGGCTGTTTGGTAGCTATTTGCATACTATGCCTCTCTCTCTCTCTTCATATGTGTGTGTGTGTGTGAGTGTGTGGTGGTGGGTGCCAGAGGGTGTGTTCGCCCAGGGCGCCAAACAGGTTAGGACCGCCACTGCGTACAACTCTGTAAAAACGACTGAAAACAATAGTGTGGACGCAGAGCGTTTTCAAATGAAAACGCCATTTTCAAATTTATCCGGGCTAGTGTGGACGTAGCATCAGTCAGATCCACCTTTCACTGGTCATGGCCAGCTTCAAAGCACCAAAATTATGATGGCCAAAATGGTCCACTTAAGGCTTCAAGATGGAACTTTGTTATCTGGCAGGTGACGAGATGTTCACTGTCTATGTTGTATTAAAGATTAACTACTAAAATGTGGTCATATTGCTCTTTCCTCCTATGAATGTTTGCTAAACTTGTCTGCTACTGAATCCTGTGCAGCAGACCAAAATTGTTTGATAATATAAAATATTGCTGTTTGAGTGACCTCTGCACACAGCTAGTGCATTACCACACTACCAAACTACAAACTGCAGCATTCTTCCTAGACAATGTGTACAATCTGTGACAGGACTGATCAGTACAACTGAATAACTGCTGGCTCAGACACCTGACATCCCTTCCTTTTTTTTAAGAAAAAAAAAAAGTCAAGTTGTCAAACAAACTTCATTTCTACATCACTGCAGTAAATGCGCCTGCCACAGCAGTGCACTTATGTACATACATGAAAACATGCGCGCACACGCACGCACACACATGCACACACATGGTACTCAAACACTTCTCTCACCACCGCTAGAGCTTTGATGAGGTTAGCCCTGCTGGTGGCTTTAAAAAAGAAGAAGAAGAAGAAGAAGCACAGAACTGACCAAATAATTTTAAATAGTTTGGGCATTTTTTTTATTTTACCCTGAGCCACTGAGTTCTGCTTCAAATTATGTTAATTTTGACATTCTTTCCAGTATTTGTGCAAGGATCTTTAAATATTTTCTCCCTAGCAAAGAACAACTAAAACTCTTGCCTGATGAAGGTGAAAAAACACAGAGCCTGGAACACTGGGATTTTCTGGGGAAGTGATAATGTATGCGATGCACACACTACAACCTCTCAACAAACTTCCTTGTGTTTGTAAGTATCCAAAAGCATCCGACAGCCACACAAACATCTGACGGAGTCCTCAGCCAAAGATACAGACAGACGACCTATTCAGGAGCACGGCGAGCGAGTCCAGAGTCGAGGACCTTTCTAACGCAGACTACGGCCTGCAAAGCCGTGTGTTCAGCCAATGAATCAATCACACTTGCATCTGATAAGCAGCGCAACCCATTTGACTTAAGTCATCAAACAGAAGCATCATCAGTAACCACAGTGTCAACATTTTGCCTTTACCCCCCTAAGTAATTTTACTTTTTCATTCGCTTCATTTGGTGTAAGAATGTGTCTTGATTTTGCTTCTTCAAATAAGCCCAAACTAAAAATACTTCTTAGCTTGACAGATGCGGACAGGCGCTGAAGTTATTTTGGCTTCCCTGTGAAATCATCTGGCAGCACTATTCTACACTGTGATCAAAACCATGACTAAACACGTTTGAGTGAGTGACTGAAACCTAAAATGCATGCACACACCTAAAGATGCCAGCTGTCTAGAAAGTGACGCATCTAAAAAAAACACTAAAGAAAGAACTAAACTCTCGCCAGTGATGAAAACAGGACCAGTATTGCCCATACCAATATCGATACTTTTAACCTATAAAAGCAAGTTTACATTGGGAAAAGCAGCTGAATCATCATTAATTTGCAAATTCTGAACACACTTTAAGGACTACTAAATCACTATGATTTTCTCTTTTCAAAATATTTAGTTAATACAGCAAAACAAACCTTTCAGCTTCTAATATATTTTGAAACTGGGTTTTTTGGAGTGCTGGAATGTAAAAGTGCCCTTGTATACTAAACTTAGAAGATAGAAACAAAGTAACGATCCTATTGTGCTAGTATCAGTCTCATAGCAATCTGCACACCTCTATTCTATACTCTTGGGTAACAGAACTGATGTCATTGCTTATTCTTGTAACCCCTTTTTCTCGTTAGGTCATAACACACAGTAATGAAAAATGGAGTCTGTATAGGAAAAAAGGCAGAAGAGATGATTTTTTAAAAATCTTTTTGTGAATGAGTTATAAAGTCGTACACTGCCACTGAGGACCTTATTACGTGACCACGAGAGCTGGATGTAATGTTTTTATGCTGTCCGAGCTTACTCTGCACCCAATCTAAAAATTATGGACTGATTTGACAGAAAGTGCCTAATTGTTCCTGGAGGAGATATAAAAATGAACATGTTGTATCTACACACGCAATCTTCCTTCATCAAATAATCCCATCAAACACCAATGAACATCTCAGTCAGTTGTCTAACTGAAAATGACACACAGCAATTGCTAATATTACAGGGCTAGTGATCACTTTGAAGTGATTCCTGGACTTTATTGTCTTACAGCAGGCCTGTTCAGTAAGAGGCTGCCAAGCCAGTGTTACCAGAGCGACATTACACTTAAACTGATGTAAAAAGCATGCATTTTCTTAACCGCTTATCCAATTTAGGGTTGCAGTGAGGCTTGAGCCTATCCCAGCTCTCATAGGGTGAGAGGCAGAGTACACCCTGGACATGTTGCATGAGCCAAGACAGAGAGGGGCATAGAGAAACCATACAGGCACAGGGAGAACATGCAAACACCTCACAGAAAGGCATGCTTAAGTGAAATGTCACACTGAGGCCATTTTTTTTTAAACATCACTAACACCCCTGAATTCAAATTTACATGGGAAAATATATAAACTGACCTTTGGAATAAGCCCATAAATGAGATTAAGCCAATGTAAGCCGCAGTTGTTTTTCATCAAAAAGACATGTAGCAGGCATTTTGTGCCTGAGTGCAATGCTGGTTAACCAGAAAATCTCTGAAAAGTTACAAGCAGCCATGAGATGGCTGGGAAAAGGCCAGTTGTGCAGCTGCAAATCAAATAGGCTCTGCAGTCCAAGGAAGCTGAGCGGCAGGCAGACAGACAGAGAAAGAGGGAGAGAGCAATGATTAGAGGTCAGCTGTTGAACGAGTTGGAGCGCTGTTATACTTCAAAAGCCTCAAATGATCAGACCCGACCACAACATTCTTTAACGAATGATCTATCTGTCACACTTTATTTTGCAGTCAGCAATCAAAATATGAATTGCCCAAATATACCAGGCCTCTGCTTTTTCTCAATTCAACTCAGCTCCAAGTACAGTTGAAGCTGTGCTGAAAACAGGAACTGGATTCTTGTAGGAGTGGAGGCTCCAGCGGTTATAGTACCCAGTTCATTCACAGAGATGTAAAAGCACAATCCATTATATGGAACCAATTTACTATGTTTGCTTGCTCAAGAGGTTAACACTCATTTGGAAGCAGGTCTCAGCCTTCCTATGATAGTATATATATTGCATTAATGGTACCTTTGTTTCAAAATTATCACAAGACCCTGTTTCACAAAGGAGCAAATCTGAGCAAGGCAAAGTCAATGAGTTTTATTAATTCATCCCGATTATCGTGTTTTAAATGCAAGATAATAAGAATATTAACCTTAAAAAAACTATTGTGGTGGATATTAGACTGAAGATAAAAGTAAATACTGAATAAATGAGTAAATAAATGAGGGATTATTGGTCAGACAGTATCTTATTAACTCAAACCTACATTGCAGATTTTGACAGTTTAAACTCTCAATAACACACACACACACACACACACACACACACACACACACACACACACACACACACACACACACACACACAC